ATTAGCGATAGAGCGTTCTTCGTGTGTCCTCCAAGAAACTGATTCGGCGAGAAGAAAGGCGAGCATTAAGATCCGCACGATCTTCCTTGGAGTGTGAAGATCACTTCTCAGACACTGATGCGACGGCTTCCTTTCACATTGCCCCATTTCGCCTTGTCAGGATCGCTCCTCCGATCGGCTCAATTAGCCACAGTCCATGCAAATCAACTGAGATCTCTCTCTCCCTGACAAGTGACACGGCGATCCACGGCGACTGTCATAAATCTCACCCACCGCGGCACCAATCTCCTCCAAGGGATTGCTTGGGATTGGATTGGTTTGGATTGTTCCTGGAAACGGACTGTTTCCCTTCTGCTCCTCCTCCTTGCGGTGCTCCTGCTACGCTACCATGTTGGTGGTCAGAAAGGAGCTGGTAAAAAGTGCAAATCACTTCATTAATGTGCCGGTTGGACCGGCGAGTTGCAACATTGTTGCCACAGGGCAGCATTTGGGCGGCTGCCCATCATTTGCCTTAATGGATACACCGGCACCCCAGCTTCCATCCATCCCAGCCGACCGGTAGAAGTTCTCAGTTCCCGCCTCCCAGCTTCGCCATAAAGATGCCAGACTCGGCCTCGTCCCTGTCCCTGTTTCTGTCCCTGCTGTCAGATCCACCTTCCAGCTCCCTGCTCCGTCTCATCCGCCGCTTTCCCTCAGTTGCTTGACCCGCAAACAAAAAACGGAAAAGAATACGCCGGGCGCTGGAATTCCTTAAACGATCGTCGTCAATGGGTTAAAGCATTTAAAGGGGACCAAGCTGAGCCGAAAAAATGCACTGGAATAGGGGATGCCCTATAATTAGGAAGTAATACCTTGGTTCAATATTTGGAAGTTTTAACAGAATATAGATAGTTGAAACCAGGGGATTTATATCGAACGGAAAAATCCAATATCCTAGGAACCTGATTATTTTATTTATCGATTATAAATTGTTAAATGCATCGTTTAAATAACCTTGCAGTATTGATATATATTGTTCTCAGACCTGCCACTCCCTTTGCTACCCTGTAAAGGCCCCTGGGCATGCACAAAAAACGCACACTCATGCCGCGGCAATGTCGCTGCAGTCTTTGCTGGCTTTTTGTTGCTCATGCTGCTCTTCTGCAACGCCCGATGTCGGCACGATATGCTCCTCTGCAACATTGTTGCATGGGAATGGAGTCGAGAGTCGGAGTCGGGTCGGATCGCCAGTATAGCTTCAGAGCGGGGAGGCTGCCTGTTGCCAGTTGCAGGTCTGGAATGCTGCAACTCATTTTGCCACATCTCTCAGCACCGCAGCTTGTCCGTTAATTGAGCGTGCAACGAGTGATAACTGCTGATCCCCCGTCTATATAGAAACAGATATCTCTCTGCTTCTTCGCATCCTCCGCCTGGAGTTGAAGTTGGAGGTCAGCAGATCGACAGCCGCCTCGGTTTCTTCTTTGGCCACTTTAATTGCTCTCGTAATTCTCTCAACGCTTGAAGCGATTATTATGGCACATTGTGTCCATAGAAAGCCCAAAAACGAAAGCTTCCGACAAAAAGAAAACTTGAAAATTGTGTTAAGCATTTACACGTGCCGTCACCATAAAAGATGTCTCGTCCAAATTTTGTTGTTTCGTTGGGAACTCCCGAAGCGGATGCTCTACAATTGTGGATTTGGCAGGTGTAGGAGGACGAGGGAGGTGAGTGAGCGATGTGGGATCGCAGGTTAGTGATCCAATGAGTTTTAATGTCATGAGAAAATTGAATCGAGGCTATATTACACTTATAAAAATATTTTTCATTCTGATTTTCCTTGTTTAGATCTTTTTTTAATTTTGGTTAATTTTTCATAATTGAGTTAAGTGACGGTTGATGGGCACCTGTGGATACCCTAAAGTAGCCCCATGTTTTCTTTATTCAAGAAAAATTATCCTTAAATTTAGAATATTTTGTCTCCTTTATAAAATGTTTCTAAAAGTGGCATAGAATTTTCTAAATATTTCTGCAAAAAGCGATAATGAACTGTACAATATTTATTAATTAAAAAAATTAAGAAATTTAAATCCTGTTTACAGACTTTTGTAAAGATCAATTTCGATTTCCAAAAGTTACCCAATAAATAATACTATATATAATACTAAACCCGATCTCTGAAACTACCGCGTCATTGATCAATGGACTCCGATAGCGCCTCGCTTTATCGCTATTCCACCATGAAGGTGAAGTGTGGGTCTACACTACAGTTCATTCCAGAGGGGCTTGGGCGTGCAAAGATCGCTCCGAGCTCCGAGCTGCGAGCTATGTTGTGTAAATTGAACAGGCCAAACGAAACGAAAAGGCGCACGAAATAAATCTCGAGAGCAAACAAACAACAACAAGTGACAAGCACAACAAACACAAAACAACAACGAGCAAACAAACAGCGAAGTAAGAAAAAATCAAGGGAAAAGAGGGGCAAAAATAATAATAAAAACTTCATGATTCGAATGGGAAAAGGTGTCATTGCAGGTGAGAAACGAGAGCACACGCGTATGCCCCTTTTGGGAGGCCAAGACAAAACAGAAACCTCGAACCCGCTTCGTAGATTATGACTTACTAGAAATCGAAGGCCCCGAGTAGCAGTAGGTTTTCCTGGGGCCACTGTGCCCGCCCGGGTTTTCATCAATGAATTTATGAGGGTACTCCGCCCCCTTTTTTTTGTGGGACTATTGCTAACCGTTAAATTGCCTTTGACTTCTTCTTCGTCTTCGCTTTTAATTTATCATTTTCCTCGCATTCCTCATACTTTTTAATTCATAAATTATAAGGGGGGATATGTTGGTCAATTGCTTGTCGGGTGGACAGTTATGGGCATAAATTACGCCTCGAGTTGTAAATTTCTTCGAAATGCTAAATTAAAAGTTATTTATTGTATTTGATTTGCTCTACGTGCTTTGTTTCGGAAATATGTACGGCCAGTAAAAAGTCTTGGGAAGCGTTTGGGGGGAGGACAAGTCATTAGGGGCGACTAGAATGTGACCGGAAACGGTTGGGGAAGGGTTTATTTTTTTCGTTTATGGTAAATGGGAAGTGTTGAGTATGTATTAATAACGGAAAGTATTAAGTTTTCATAAAAGAGTTTTTAACTAGGAATTGGACAAGTTTGTATTCAGTTAAAGTATATCGATATTTTGTGGAAATGTCGTAACAGTTGACAGTTTTTCGTAGTTTAAAAATCCATGTATAAATCACTACATTTATTTCGATATGATAATTATTGCGAGTATAGTACAGGCTGTGAATATTGATAATAAAAAGTGGGAAAAAATATTTAATCTTAAATTCTCAGCCATTTAAACTTCTTTAAATACATTCTCCAAATGCTAATTAGTGACTTTCCATATCGATAATAGAAAACTCCTCTGACCAAATAGAGTTCCATTTGGAAAACCACACACTCGGACCCTCTTACCCTTCACACCCTCCTATCCTAGCTCGTATGTGGGATGTGTGACTCCTTCCTTTTTTCAGGGGCGTGGCCTGTGTGTGCAGCCGCAACCAGTTAGCCATTTAATGGCTTGTCTAATATCCTTTAACTGCCATCGGGCCATTAAAAAGCATAAAGTCATTTGGTAATTAATTTTCATGTTGGTTCCTCCGTCCCGTCCAGGAGATAGATATGATGACGATGATGGGGCTGTGGAAGTTGGGGGAGTCCCCGAAACAGGGCGCGGTCGAGTTTGGTTAGTTTCGGCTTCGCTGCTTGCTCCTCGCTCCCTACCCAGAGTCCTTCCGCGTTGTACCCTTTTGCATATTAACAAAACAAAGCACAACACTCACACATGCAGTCGAAAAACGCGCCAAACATGTCCTACCTCTCGTGGATTTCCAGTGCGCACGACGACCAAAGCCAGGATGCTGCTGGACCTCCTCCGATGCCGTTGTCGATGCCGATGCAGTTTGTGCCGGGTTCCCTTCCAGCTTCCATTACTACGAGCATTTTTACTACGTTTTATCGATCCACCAGTGTGTATCCATCCTGCGCGCGCTTTTGCCGGCTTTAGTTGTGTGTGTGTATTCCGCGCTCTGTATCCTGTGGCCCGTAGCCCGTATCCCGAGACCTGCTGCTGTACGCCCAGCCAAAAAAAGGAAAAGAGCAAAGGCAACGAAAAGAGCCGAAGCCCAATCGGGTTTTGGGTTGGAGGAAGCTGGGCAGCTGGGCGAGGCCACATCAAAAGAGCACACTGAACGGGGGTTCCCCTCGTTTCACTTTCCACTTGATTCCTTGCGCTTGACAGCCACCCAAAGGAGGAGGATGCAAGGATGCAGCTGTGCTCAGCGCTCGCTCTCTCTTGCCGGCGCTCCGCTCTCGTCTCTCGGCCATTGACCTCTGATGTCAAACGAAATCGGCGCGCACTTATTAAGTAGAGAGGGGAGGCAAGGCAGGAGCAGGAGCTGGAGCAGGAACATTATCAGGAGCAGGAGTAGCAGCAGTAAGAGGAGGGAGGTGCAAGGGGACACTCGACCACGGTCCAGAGAATTGCAACTTCACAAGGGGGAACCCAGTCAGGAGTGGGACTTTGGGCATGGGAGCACGTTGAGTGGATTGCCGTGGATTGGATTCTGTGGTGCACCCGCTCATCCTCATCCTTGTCCTCGGCCAGAGTTGCCTTACGGCCAACTTCCGAGTTTGTTTTGTGTTGTGTAAATTACGTTATTTACGTGTATATTGTTGGCCAGAGTTTCGGGTTCGGCTTTGGGTTACTTTTGTTGTGTTTTGTGTGTTTATGAGACGTCGGGGAAAGATTAAATTGGATACGCCAAGCCAAGTCCGAATTGTTGCAATTGTTCATAAAAAAATGACAATAAAAAACCTTTCTACTTAAAGGCTTTAAATATGGTTAAATATATATAGTTTTCCTCTCTATTACTTCATTCGTTTTTTTGTTTTTATTTTATAATTTTATTGGGAGCTATTTACAAACCACAAATAAAATAAAAGCCATTTATCTAAGGACTTAAAGAGTATATTTTTGGTACGAAAAATTATCTGCATGAAATTACGTGAACTCTTCGTGTATAATAGAGTATTTGTTGATTATACAGACATAGTTTGGACAGACATTTTATACGTAAATTTAAGTTTAGTTTCCACGTCAAACACATCAGGTTTGTGCCTTGGCTGAGTTGAAAATTGCTCATTGGGTTGTCGTCGTGACTAATATTGCTTCCACTTGTTGTAAAACTTTGGTAAATTTTAACCAAAACTCGACAGGGGAACGGAGTTTTCGCAGGTATCTTCCTCGCTTTAGGAAAGAAAATTGTTTTTAAATAAGTCATTATTAAAATATTATATTAGGGCTATAGTCGAGAGTTCCGACTTGTAGAAACCGGGTAATCTCTGTTATAATACTTTGCCCTTGCGGGGTATTACAAATTCAGTCAGAAGCTGGTAACGCAGTGAAGGAGTCATTTTCGACCCTATATTCTTGATCAGCATCAACAGGCGAGTCTTTCTAGCCATGTCGAGAAGAAAAAAAATTTTCAAAATTTTTTATCAAAAAATGTTTAAGGGGTTGCATCGTTAACATTCTTAAAAATTTGAAAAAATTTTAATTTCTTAAAATTTGAAATTCAGTATGAATATTTATTAGCCTATTAAAAACTAACATGGAAAAGCATTCCGAATTGAATTTAATGCATTTATGGCTTAGTTATGATCGATTCGCTTCACATTTAGCTGATATAGCTCTGGTATTTCTTGTCAGATCCGCGATTACGCTACATAAATATAGGTCTCTCTGTTACTCACTTATCAATGCGTCGCAGAAAGTTCTGGATCTGTTGATTCTTCCCAATCAACGCGTAGAGTGCCGCAAATCCATGAAAGGCCATGCAGAAGCTGACGGCATAGTTGAGGTGCGACCGCTCCTCCCGGTAATAATTGAAGGCAAAAGAGCAGACGCAAACAAACCACACGAGCGCCGTATAGCCGAAATACTTCCAAAAGGATCTGAAGCGATTCTTCTCAATGGACTCGAAGCTCTTCTCGGTCTCGATTTCGGGCTCTTCGCTGATGTAGATCAGGCTGAGGATGTAGAAGAAGCCACTGATGGCGCAGGCCACAAAGACGGGGGCGTACAGGTACACCATAATAGACCAGTTGCGCGCTGGAAAAGCGATCCGTAAATTAGTTAATTATATTAGTTATCGGATAGATAGCCGAGTACTTACGATCAAACCAGCAAGTATCGCCGCCAAAGATCAGCCTTGAGCCGTAGTAACTGAAGCCCACGAAGAAGGACCAACCAATGGCAATCAACACAATCGGTGTGAAGATCAGCCAGAACATGAGTTTGGTGAAAACAACGCCATGGAAGCTGAGGTAGAGCTTGAAGGCAATGAAGCTCAGGATGTAGAAGGAGAGAACCAGATACATGAGAGTTAAGCTGGCTAGGAAAACGGTTAGAAAAGAGATCTCAGGGCTGGAAGGATATAACTCACGTAAGATCCTACAGGCCGCATTCGAGAGATTCGCCGGATTGTGCAGAGTTAGGTAGGCCAGGGGGGCATAGCCCATGATCATACAAATAGTGTAGGCCTTGATCGCCACACCGTAGAAACTGTTGCGCATCTCGGAGCACATCAGGTACACCATTAGCACAATAAACATGGATATTATGGCGATCAAAAGACCTGCAGAGAAACGAGTAGAGCGCGAGATCAGCTGGATAAAAGCATGAATATCGCTGACGATCAAACTATCAATCCACACATCGGCGATTTCCTTTTGTTATTTTAGCAATTATTTTTATGAGGCGAGGCGGTGTCTATTTTTGCCTCAAAAATGAGAATTAAAAATTGAAAGCAAAAGTTGTGACTGTGTTTAATCGCTGGCGGACTCACATATGGCGTAGGTCCATTCCCGCACGCCCAGTACAAAGTGTAGTTTCTCCGGGGCGCAGGCCAAGGGCTGCCAGTCCCAGGAGGTGTTGCCATTGAGCAGGAGCAAGGGAGTGAAGCAGTAGTGCTTGGAGAACAGGTGGCCCCGATGGGTCACCGTTCCGTTCTGGGGAAAAGAGAAAATTTTAAAGCATCTAAGCGCTCGCAATGGGGAAAATTCATTACCTCGTGCAGAGTCCAGTGCACATACTCCGATCCCTTGGTTACCGCCTTCATGTGCTCACACGGCGTTCCCACATGAATGCTGAAACGTGACCTTAGTTCTATATCGCTCAGGCTGCCGTTGTTCAGCTCCACTTCCATGTGGTTCTCCGAGGGAAGACTGGATAATTGGCGTATTGGTATCTCGCACTGTCTGGTCACCAGGTCGTAGGTCTGCCCCTCGGGACAGCAAATCCTTACGCACGGCCTCGACTTACAGACACAGGCTCTGAGGTGAATGGGCGCCGGTATACGGATGCCATTCTCAATGACAAAGTCGTAGGCGGCCACCAAGTGACGTGGAATCACTGTCCAGTTGTGGATGTAGGAGCCTTCCGAGATATAACTCCCCGAGATGTTGGCGGTGTCAATGAACGCGCAGGGATAGTGAGTCTCCTCGTGATATCCCCAGCATAAGTGGACTGTGCAGAGGAGAAGAAGGATCTTCATCCCCAGAGGGCACAACTGCGCCATTCGAAGAGACATTCTCGACTGCCGAACGAATCTAATCTCTGGCTCTCCCTGCTCCGGGATGTGTTTTTGTTTACACTAGAGCGTCCAATTTATGCGTGTTTACCTCCGGACGATTGCCAAATCCAAATCGAATTGGTATGGAAATGGTATCAAAATGGACTGACCGACCGAATGGCACAGGTATGGGTAATTGTAATGCACTGATGACTGGGCGGGGCACAGGTGGGAGAGCCGCTAGTTGGGTGTACGGCGGATCATCGTCAGCCTGCACCTGGCACTCGTCGAACTTGGACTGCTAATCCGAATCCCGACGAACTCAATCGAAGGCAAGGTAGGCGGTCAGTCGGTGGTGGTGTAGTGTCTGTGGTGTGTCTGAGGCCTGTGTGCGAGGTGTGTGAGGTGTGGCAAGGCGCACACCCACTTTATTTAGCGTCGTCCCAGGAACGTGCGGCATTTTGTTTACAACAAAAGAACAAAAAAAAGGGGGGGGAAAGTAAGCTGTTGGCCAAACATCAAAATGGTCGGGAAATGCTCTATACATATATGCTTGGAAAAATGCTAAGAAAATTATGATTGAATGGATTTTGGATGCTAAGAGGAATTCCCCCAGAGGAAAAGGAAAGTTTGAATTTAAATATTTCAGTTCTTTGGGTTAGTGAACTATTTCTGAGGCAATATTTAGTTTTTAATTATACTTTTCAAGAACCTTATATAAAGTCCACATATCGAGGATCACCACACCTATATTTAACCTCCAATAAACTTATCGCAAAGCCTTATCATAAAGGCTTCGTTTCTATTTATAATTAACCCCTTAAAAACTCCATAAAAATCAGGTCCTATAGTGTCTCCACTATTCATTACTGAGTCACTTTTCACATAACTATTGGAAACTATTCGCGCACCGGACATTCTACAGACGGAGGCATGGAAATAGAGACAGATACAGATACTCGGACAGATAGAGCGATACGGATAAAGTCAGCTCTCGGCCATTCTCAATTGCGTCATTAACCGAGCATTTGTTGCGTGCCACTTAGTGGCTTTCCGCTAATCCCAAACCCAACCTAGACGAAGCACGTCACAAAGGAGAGACTCTCGTGGGGTGGATATTCGAGGAATAGTTTCCTTTGCCGCGGGACAAAAATTATTCATAAAGCTAATAATAGGAGAAGGAGGACAGAGAAAAGAAAATGGTTGACAAGTTGCAAAATCTATAAAATTAGGAATTTATGAGTGTGAATTTGTGGCAGATTTGCTTAAAGGTAGAAACAATTAGCTTATGAAAGATCAGAGTAGCTAAGGATTGATTGATAAAGATACATTCTACATGCACATTATCTGAGTTTATTTAACAAACTTATACCTAGTATACTGAGTCACTTATAAATTATGGACATATTTGTGAGCGACGCCTTAAATGAATCATAAGATAGCTTGATACAGCAAAATCAACTAAAGTGACGTGACTGTGGGCTTATAGGGTGAGTCTGTAAGACAAAATAGATTAGTTTTGACTTAAAAACCAAAAAATATATATTTATTAATAATAACCTGAAGATTTGAGATCCCCTTTCTCATCGAACTTGTAGACGCGAGCATTGATCACACTCAGATCTGTTTGACTCGACTCACTGTGAAATGAAGCAATATTTTAAATATTAGTTTTTAGTTCTTTTTCCGTTGAGATAAATTTAACTTACACATTGATGGCCCACCAGGATTTCACATGCATGTTTTTCCCAAGCAAGAGAATAAATCCGGCTATGGCCAGGCCCAGGATGCAAATGCCACTCCAGAAGTCTATGATGAAGAAGTGCTCCCTTACTCTGGCCATTATGTAAACCACGATCTCACGGACCCACACGGCGAACACGCCCACTATATAGGCGCTGAAGGCGTAAAAACTGAAAGGAAAACCAAAATTTAACAAGGATGAACTAGGAAAAGCTTTAGAGATCTTCGCCTACTGGGTCTTGACGATTCTCAGCTGTGTTCCCAATATGTACTGAGTGTCCGGGGGCAGTTCGTAGATCGAAAAGTAGGCCTTGAGGCAGCACACAATACTAAAGATGAGCAGAATGGTAATGGGCGCATAATAGTAGATCAAAATGCCCCAAAGACGAACTGAAATAAAGGGTATAAAGTATTATTCGTTAGGTTAAACCCAATAGGACCCACCATCAAACCAGCAGTAGTCCTCGCCAATGCCTGGCTTGTAGTGTTTGGGCAGCTTGGAGTCCTGGGCGAAGGACACGAGGAACCGGAGTCCCACCACAGCCAAGACTGATAAGCCATACCAAAGGCGACGAACCCAATCCCTCACCGCCTTCTGTCTGAAGTTAAGCAGGAAATCGAAGCTGCAAATGGCCAGGAAGACGAAGGATAGCAGGATGCAGAAGTAGGCCAGGAAGCCTAAATAGAGTACGATTTTCTAAGTTAAAGGAGGAATGAAATTCGAGCCTTTAGCAGTCACCTATATTTCTGCAGGAAGCATGCGATAGCTTCATGGGATTCTTCAGGGCCAAGTAGACCAAAAGGGAGTAGCCCACGACGATGCAGAGCAGATAGTAGATGATCACCTTGCCATAGTAACTCTGCCGCGCTTCCCTTACCGAGCCCAGTAGCGACAGGATAAATATGTTTATGATAATGGCTATGATGCTGCCTGAAAGGATTCAACAAAGGGGTTACTTTTTGGATAGAAAAACCTCCTCAAACGAGAAGAATGCGACTGCTCACAAATGGCGTAGATCCACACCCGGTAGCCCGTCTGGAAGCGCTCGCAGCTGAGCGGCGCGAGCTCCCACTGCTCAGACTTGTGCTCCAATGGAGTGAAGCAGTACTCATCTGGGGTCCACAGCCGGTTGTCCCTTTGCAGGGAACCATTCTCGAAGAGATCCCACTGCCAGAAGCTCTCGTGCTTCTTGTCCACAAACTTGTTCCGACATCCAAGCTCCGTGCGCACCACAAATCGATCCAAGATCCGCACCTGCTCCACTGATTTATTGTTGCTGTAGGTCAGCTCTATGTGAGTGGACTCCCGTATCTGGTGGGGCCTGGAGCAGTTCCAATTCTTGGCATCGAATACCAGATCCGGTGGGCAGCAGAAACTGATGCATGGCTTTAGCAGGCAGACGCAGCCGCGTAAGTGCTTTTTGGCCCGGTACTCAACGCCATCGATCACCTTGAAGCCGTACTCGGCCATGAAATGGGGAGGAACCACCACTCCGGCGTAAGAGTAGGATCCGTCCTTGAGCCGCAATCCATCCGTGATGTTGACCGTGTCCGCGTAGGCGCAGGGATGATCCATGCTAGCGATCTCCAGCGATCGTACGCCCACGCATAAAACCAAGCCCAAGCCTATGGTGATGATCCAAGACGAAGCCATGGCTCACAGTGACGTCACGGAGCTCGATAATGAAATAAACAAATAATCGAAGCGATGATCGCCGCCGAATTCTCTTTATGCAATCCACGCACACTCGCAAAATCTGAATCCGAATTCGAATCCGACTCCGAGTCCACAACAATCGGAACCCAAAAACTGACGAAGGCAGCGGCGCTGTCTAAAAACGTCTGTGATTGCGACAACGACAGCGGCGACAACGACAAAAGAACAGCCGTAAACAACGATGGAGAGACCGCTCTCTCTCTCTTAGACCCGGCAGGGGCAACCGCAGTGCCGCTCCATGCTGGCCAAGAATAAAAAACAGACTAACTGATTAGCCAGCGAGCCCAAAAACCAGACGCGACCACAACCGGCAGAGCAAAGCAGCAACAGAAACAACAGCAGCAGCAGAAGCAGAAGCGGTGGGGACCAGTCACTGCTCCATACCCAGGCCCCTTCTCTCTCCCGAACGTGTGGAATCCCAACCAGCGCGACTGGCACATTCAAAATTCATTTTTTGATAGGCACCGCACCGCGTGAGTGGTGTTGAATCAGCTATTTCTAGCCATTCATAAGGTAATTCCAGTGAGTGAGTGTGTTTAACATGTGTCTTTCCTTTTCAATTAATTAAAGATCAAGACACAAAAGATATGAAACACTCGACTGAAAATTAGAGATCACTGTTTCCAAAGTAAAATTTAAAAAATTACAGATTGACAGACCGAATATCGAAGTCAGGTAAAAACCTTGGTTTCCAAAATCCTTGGCTCGGGGATGTCTGCCGGTGATGTGCAGATTTTGTTTTCGTTATTGCCGTTAGCTTATTAAATCGTAAAAAAAGTAATATCTTAAAATCTGTATGCAGATTTTTTAACCTAGAAAAAAAAAATAGCGTAGGCACGCTTTTCAAATTAAATTTGATGACGATAAATTCTTAAAATTTAAAATGAAGTTGCTATTTTTTTATTAAAAATAAAAATAGTAAAAACAGAAGCGAACATTTCGAAATATGGTAAAATGAATTAATTTTTGGCTTACCTCTAGTATACTTTGAATTCGGCGCCTGATCCAATTGTAACCTGCAAGGGTTGCCAACTAGCTTTCCTTCTTGTTTGTTATTAATTTAGTTCTTAAAAGAATTAAAAAAGCTGTTGTTAAGACAAGAAAATCCAACCCGATCTACAGCTGAAGCTGAAACTCTCAGGGTTTATGTACAGGTTAAAAAATAGCATACCGTATTTATGGTGCCCGCATTTGCTAATGATCTCTTACGATCAAATACATTCGGTATGGTGAGTGTCTCTGCTAAATCTTTAGCAGAGTAGTTTATACTACTAGTATATATTCCTTAAAACTTTGAAAATTTACCTTATTTGAATATCTTATCAGTGAATCAGTGGTAATGATTCGGTACCTACAAAAAAGGCCTCAACACATAAAATAATAATTTTTATCTTTGGCTTTATTAAGCTTGACATACGATTATACTTTCTCGTAATTTTTATTTTACCAATATAGATAGCGTATTTATATATAAGTAGATATGGAGAATGGGTACGCTTATGCGTATAAAATATATAAATCTGAATGTTTTCAAGGCACATCTATGTTACGTACGTACATGCAGGTGGTTTATCTTTAAGATTTGGACTCGATTTGATCCCTCTTAGCTGGTTATAATTTCATAGGCATAAATATACTTAGATATGGCGCTGACGCGTAGGGTAAGGTGCTTATAGAACTAATCAGGTTGTTCGTGGCGGTCACATGACATATACAAAGAGAGAGAGAAAGAGAGACAAGGGTTGTGAGAATGCTTCTCGGGGAGTTGGATGCATGGATAGGGACTTTCTCCTATAGTAGTGTCTTTTCGTAAAGTTCTATCCGAAATATGGCTGATGCTGACGCAGAGGGAGCTGGTCCTTGGAATAGGTTGGGATCTCCAACTGAATCTCCCTTCCTTCTGTGGACACATATTCCCATTATGGTTTATTCGATGCTCGTCGACCCAAGGCTGCAACTGGTCCCGTGATACTCAGCGAAAGATGGTGGTGCTTCTCTGAGGATCTGTGGCCATCAGCGGCTTTTCCGCCGCCAACGAAGGCTTCTCGTGCAGCGACAAGTTGGCCACGCTGCTCGACGTGGTCTTTGTGGAGTACTGGCTCTGTCGCTGGTTGCTGCCATCGCGAGCACTCGAGCATCTGAGGCACGGCGATCGTCACGATGTCCATTGCGTGGGCAGAGTGGAATAGACAATGTTGAAAAATCTGATTAGAACGGGGTTAATGGATTACCAGGGTTTGTTATCTAAATGGAAATACATAGACCAAGCACCAAGACATTCGAGAGGCAACTCATTATGATGATTAGGGGTTAAAAGATTAAAGTCTAAGGGTTAGAGCTAGTTTAGTTAGTGACTTCCCAAGGCGGAGGCAGTGGCAACTTCTACTCTCAGTTTTACCTGTGACCAGTCTGTTTAGATGGCCGCCTTTGGGCTGGAACAGGCCTTTGGATGCTCGACAGCCCTAAGGGGGAGCTTTTTCGGCAGTACATTGGAGTCGGAGGTGATCGAGGTCGTGGTGGTGGTCGAGACGTTGGGCGAGTTCACACCATTCGAGCGTCTCTTCTCCAGGAGTCTTCGGTGGGGACGATGATTTAGATTCGATGAGAAGACACATCACACACATATATGGACACACATTATAGACGCAAAACATAAGAAGGTGTTGGGTTATGATGTGGTTACTACTAAGTAGGCTTGGCTACTATGCATAATGGACGTATTGGTTTTTATGGCTTGAGCCTGGAGTCTAGCTTTGGGCGGCTGGAGATTCGGGTTTGTGTTGTTGGTTGTCAGTGTTGTTGTTGGAGTGTCTAGAGTTAGTCGGCTGGCTGTTTCTGTTGGTGTTCTGCTTGAGGTTAAGCAATATCGAAAGCGGTCTGACAACGAGATAAGTACAACATAAAGGGAATATATAAACAAGGGCTACATCAAAATCTTTTGGGTCTCTTCAGTAAGTGAGCTACGTGGCAATGCACCCCTAAAATCCCTAGGATTCTTGGGTTTATTTCTTTGCAGGTTTTGCATATGCTTTTAATAGAGCTTCCTAGAGATTAAAGGAATACAATTGCAAGGCTAATCCTCAGCTAGTAAAGGTTAGTCGGAGGCCACAACAATCGAGCAGTATATGACCTACTGCTTACGGAAGATTCGCCTCAGACATCGTGGGAGTGAATCCCACTGGCGGTGGAGCCATTGGCGAAGGCATTGCGAATGACTACCAGTTTTCGGATCTGGCTGGACGCTTCCTTGAAGCGCTGCTTCATTGAGATCGTGCTCGGCCCCATCGTAACACTCTCAGTCTGCCGCAGACTGCGCACCCGTATTGTTCTGGGAATTGTCGTTGGGTTACAGATTAAACAGATCACAGGGGAACAAGGATCGATGACAGATCCCTCAGGATCGGAATGGGACGAGACAAAACACAGATTTCGAAGCAGAACTGCACACTCACCTGTTGGTAATCAAGTGCTTGACCTTCTTCTTCATCACGAACAGCATGAAGATGAGGAAGCCCTGCATGGCGTTGGCCAGATCCGAGATGTAGAAGATTTTCGACCAGTTCTTGTCAGCCCCCACAAAGAACGAGATCAGCTCCGACAGCCAGGTGACGCCCATGATGAGGAAGAGCCGCAGGAACAACCCAAATCTAAGGGAAGACAAGACGCGACGGGCTCTCCTTAGGTGGGAGTTGGATGGAAAGTACTTTGAAAACTGCACTCACTTGTCCTTCTCGGTCCGTAAGTTCTTGGTGCTGTTTTCGCCGGCAATTATCCTAGCCATCTCCCGCTGCACGCTGTGGATCTTGATGGCTGTCATCACGAACATGATCGTATTGGCCACGACAATGACCAATATGGGGCCATAGAAATAAATCATGGCCGACCAGTTGGTCATGTCCAGCCAACAGAAGGTGCCGTCCCCGATACCCGGTTTAAGGTAACTCGGCCAGGAAGTGAATTCCTGGGCACTAAATGTGAAGGCTAGGAAGACCAGGGCCAGACCCCACGAGTAAAGGGAGTAGATGAGGAAGCGCTTTTTCTCCTGGAACCTGTTGATGCCCCGCGTGCCTCGGAAGTTGTGCCACAAATCGAAGCTGATTATGTTCAGCCAGAAGTAGGCGGCCATGAAGAAAAAGTACGAAGTATAGCCAAAGGCCTTGCATGAATTGCTGCTGGGATCGATATTCTTTTCCAGTTGCACAAAGGTCAGCGAGGAGTACCCGACGGAGAGACCCACTAGGTAGCAGACCAGGCTCTTGCCATGCTGGTTCCTCAGCTCGGGGATCAGCAGATACACGGCAATGGTCAGCATCATGAATGGAATGGAGAAGAGCATTGCTGAAAGAGCAGGAGAAGATTAGTCAAGGGCGGGGGCTTCTCAAAATATTTGGTTATGTAGTCAAAGGTGTTCTCCTTGGCATGTTGCCAACACTCACCATAGGCATTGATTATCTTTACTGTATTGCGCTCGTCCAGCATGTCACAGTTTGCTGGATTCACGGTGTAGTAAAGATCCGTATCATTCACGTAGGTCGGCACCAGACAGTACTCGTTCTTCTTTATATACTTGTCATCGTCCATCCGCAGCATGGACCCGTTCTCAAAGATGAGGTAGCCATCGAAGTAGTTAATCTCCGGCTGCAGGGAGAACATTCTAGCGCAGGGCCGAAAGCTCTGGATGGCGAACTGCTTGAAGATGTCCACCGATTCCATGCTGCCGTTGGCAAACGTTACGTTCAGCATAACGGGATCCGGCCAGATGCGCTGATCCTGCGGATCGACCATGCACTCGCCCTTCTCGCTGTTGAAGACCTGCCGCCACGGGCAGCATATATTGAGACAGGCCTTCAGCTTGCAGGCACAGCCGCGCACATGGAGGGGCACCTCCACCCGCTCCGTCAGGGATCGATGGATGTAGTCATACGTGCCCACCAAGTGCTTGGGTATCAGCGTGCCGTAGTAATCGTAGCTTCCGTTCTGGTAGGCCGTGTGGCCGGTGAGATTGACGGTGTCGTAGAAATTACATGGCACATTGGGGTCGTCTATGGTGTGGTAGTGATCCTGCTCCGCCATGGCAAACACACCAAAGGACAGGCCAGGGATCAGGCGGAATACTATTAGGCAGAGGATTCCCAGCAGGGTGACTCCGCAGTAGAGGGATCCTCCGCGTTGTTGGATTTTCTTTGGCATTATGAAGGTCCTAAAAGTAAGGAGAAAGGTAGGGCTAGTCTCTTGTGTTGGATGTTGCATAATTAATCCAAAATAAACCTTAAATTTGAGTAGTTTTTTTATCAGATATAACTATCCTAAGTACAGTTGTTCACTGAAGCAGCAAACTGTATTTGAATTAGTAATTAAATTGATATTACTTAGTGCTTTTTTAATTACCACTAATTTGGGCAGCCGGAGCCAATTAGTGAATCATGCACGCGGGCAACAGGTCGTTGAAAGGATAAAGGAGCAGCTTTCAAGGACAGCGTCGCAAGCAATTAGCAGCCAACGAGTCCAATGGGACTGTCCCACTGCGCGGAGTAAATGCTAACTCGGTCTCTCGGTTTCGTACCCAGGCGCCGTGGGGCATCAATCATAAGGTCAGGCACGCAGGGAGCGCGCAGCCAACATTTATGGATTCGTGTTAAATTGATAGTAACTGCCGTCGTCTGTCAATAGCGGTGACATCCATCCGACTTCCGACTCTGCTTCCCCCATCTAGGATTACCTAGCTCTCTGGGGATGGCATTTCAAGCGCTGCTAACGAGCCGGCCATAAATTCATTAGCAGTGCGAATAGATAAGCCCACCATCACCACCGTCGATGGCTATCTTATCGGTTGCATCACACCGAGGGACTGGGGCTGTGACTGGGACTGGGGCACCTAATATTCATTGATCCCAAGGGAAGAGGAGCGAGGGTTACCTCGGGCGCGTGGGCCACAAAATTACCATGATGGGTGGAGAGTAAACACATTAAACTCCCATATAGATAGCTAATGTAGTAAATGGATACTGGGGGTCCTGGAATGGGTATAGTGGAAGCACTTATCTGGCGATGGAAAATTAGCATAATTAATCGCTGAGAGCGGACATACACTTGGGGAACGGGAATTATATTCAGCAGATCGAATATATTTTATATTTATATATTTTTTTTTCGCTCATTCAGAGAGCTTTTTCAGTTCTTTCACGCATGTTTGAAAAATAATCAAAACATGCGGAACATTAAAGCCATGAAAACAATTGGCTATAAAATTGAATTATGGGCAGCGATCTATCCAATATATGGATTCTCGCTGGCCGCACTTTGATAGAAGCAATATTTCTTTTCAAATCTCCACTTTGTGTATATATTTCGTGTATATTTTGATCAGCCAAACAATTATTCAGATCAAGAATTGTTTAATGCGATTTGAAAATAAGTCGTAATAGCACACTGAAAAGAACCAGGTAATTAACTCGTCTAATTAGGGCCTAAAAAAGTCGGAGACAATGTCATAAATAAATGTTGCTTTGTTAATTAAAATTTATGTAACTTTTTGAAAATTTTAACGATGAAACCCCTTGTAAAATTTTGATCAAATTGATGCTGATCAATTATAAATATGATTTATAGAGTCAGAAATGCCGTCTTCACAGCGTAACAAACTTCTGTCTATATTTATAATAATTATAATAAATAAATAAAATAAAAATAAATAAATAATAAATAATTGTAATTTCTTGCAAAGATATAAGAACTAATAATTCGTAAGTCTAATAATTCTCTTATTCTATAAAACTGAGTAACAAACAGGAAAGGGTATTACAATAGCCATTTCTAAGCCTTGTCTCAACAGATGAGCTTCGTTATAAGTTGCCAAATTGTGGTTCTTCCCAGATATTATTCCCAAGTAATATTATAACCAACTCTTGATGTGTGTATTTTTGCGGGCCGACTCATAAAATGTCTTATTTGTGGCCGGTAACCGATAAGATAAAGTCAATTGGCCAACGGCGCTGCCAATGTCTGACAAAGGAATACGAGTTGCTTATTTATTTTTCTATATATGTATATGTAGAGTAACGACTTATCGAGTCCCCAGTTCCCGCGAAATCGCGAGCCATTCGATGCCTACTGCGATCACTTACAGATGCTCTGCAATGCGTCTCCTCAGGTTACTGCTGCTACTCGGCTTGGACTCGTTTATTATTATCTGTATCGGTTTAATGCTGATAATTTGGGGATTGTCCATGGTCAGGTAGGGTGGTCCTTTGCTGAGTTATTGACTCTAAAAACTGGCGCCCTGAGTCATCATCAGAATCCCATTAGACTTTGGACGAGGCAATGAAGATTAATCGAAACGGCTTCGCACCCACACGGCGTATGCGTAATTTATTACAATTCAAACAAAAAGGTACTAGGCGACGACACCGTCAACATATTAATATCGAAAATGACCGAACAAAACAAACATTAGCCGGCCAATCCTATAAAACTTAACGTATGTTTTTTTACACGGAAGCGAACTTTTAAAACCCTCAAGTCGCATAAATTATATTTCATATATATATTGCTTTATCCGTTTTCGGTTTCGTCTCTTTGTGTTTTTGGGTTTTTCTGTTGTTTTCGAGTGTTTTCTTATCACGTCTGCCACCAAAAGTCCCTGGGCTCTGTCTTATATACACTGTATGCCCATTATCTTTTCGAGGGCTCTGCGCGGTTTCTGTCTTGCTGTCCGTATCACAAACTGAAACTAATCGCCCGAAGACAGAAGGAAACCCAGCGCTTGAAGAGGGGTTACAAGTCACCACGCCAGAAAGTGGTGGACTGTGGTGAACTGCGGTGGGTTTTCGGTTCCGATAAGCAGCGATTACAGATGTGCCCCTTTACCCTTTTTACCTATAGAGTTCTATGCTTTCTGTTTTCGCAGCAAACAAACACTTGGCAAAAAGCAATTTATATGGCCCAATCCCATTGACGGGCTGGCTCTTGTGTGGATTTTCGTGTGAAAATTCCTAACTGGAGTATTTTTAGACGCCGATGCTGTCTGCGGCTTGTAAACAAAGGCGGAGGCCCCGCGAAAGAGCTATAGACGTTCTATCACTCGAGAGTGGGCTTGTGGGCGGGTGGCAAGTTCGCCAAATATTATTCCACTGACACCCTCCTGATGTGCCCCACGGCGCCCCGAATGTGTGAGTGGGCGCAGGAGAGGCGGGACAGTCAACAGATCGCCCATTGGGGAACTCGAGACCCGGGAAGATAAACGGCCGTCATTGGGATATGTCTGTTCCCGCTCATTAGCCATGATGAAAGGCTCTTTGGGTTGGAGGAGAGCCTCTGAGTTGGACTATTAGGAAATTATGAAATACCCTCGAAATACTGGAAACTAAATGTATTTGAGAGTGTTTTCGAGTTGTCTTCTATCTAATATTTCGAACCTTTGAAAAGCTAAAACAGATGATGCTTTACCCAAAATATATAGGTATATATAATAAACCTCAAATTGATATGCTCTTTTAGAATTTCCACACACATATGGTTTATTCGTGAGTTATTGCCATTGTCATAGCCGATTAAAAGTAGTTGGAAAAGTCATTAATTAAAGACAACTTCCGTTTTTAAAACACCCCTAGGACTAATTTCCAGAGACCAAACACCATTATCCTTATCCAGACAGTTTTTTATGGCCACCATCAGGTGCCTGGCAAAGATCCCCAGCCAGATGTCAAGTCGACTCATACAGTTGGCAACTGGAAAAGCATTTCACAATTAATTGGTAATTGCATTTGGAGCTTATCATGAAAATGCACAGCGGGAAAGGCCCGATAATACCAATTGAAATTAAATGGAATGCTAATCGCCGCAGCTTGTAATATTTTCTAGTACTTAGATATTACTCTGATGTGGTGGGCGTGAGTGCAGGCAGCGCGAATGTATTTTTATATATTTTTATCTAATACCCTGCAAGTAAGAGGAAAATTGTATTGAAATAAACAGACCTCAAAGCAAACAATAAACAATATTCCCGAGATGTGTTTCAACAACAATTCGCTCGCAGCGGCCAAATGTGCGAAAGTGTAAACAAAACATTTAACAAATACGAACTCAAATCGAAGAGAATTCAAATTCGAATTCAGAGACGAAAGAAACAGTACCCAAGGTGCGGCCTCCAGGGGGCCGGTAGCCATTTCTCCGCCTAGAATAATTGCAAAATTCGTGCAGTGACTCAATAAAAGGTGCATCGAGAACAGTTGGGTAAATATGGTCGAGTGTTTCTCTGTGATTTTTAATCAGGGAATGCCAGTCAATCTTTGACCAGTTCAACCGATAAAAACCCCAACTGAAATTAGAAAACCTGACACGCTCTAGCGTTCTATTAAAGCCAATCGTCACAACATTAAATCGTATTAAATACGACGTATATATCGACGCATTTTCGCGAAAGTATCGTATGTCGCTTTTTTTCGAAATTGAGATTTTAATGCAAAATTGTTAGGTACCTAATGTCTCACTACCCTGTGAAATATTATAACTGAAAACCTTATAGTTCCGATAAAAATTAAGTTTCAATTTTGTCTTTTCTATAGTGCTTCCTAAGAGATTAAAGCACAAAAAAGCTTCTCCTGTAAAATTGGATTTTTCGACATACGATACTTTCGCGAAAATGCGTCGATATGCTTTTATCTGGTAAAATCCATTAGGAATCTATTCGCAGATGGACAGAACTCATAAGCCTATTAAAGTTAACGTCGCCTCATTCAGAAGGCATTAATTTTATTTCGGTTTATTTCGTTGGAATTCTCAAAATGACACAATTCGAATGAGAAAATTCTTCAAAATGCGGAACTATATTTCGTAGGGAGAACTACTTATAGTATGCTGATCACAAAAGCTATTCCCATAGCAAACTTACCCAGCTCTCAGGTGATGGAGGCTATGAATAATGCCAGCAACTTCAGGTTGTTTGCTGTTAATCAACAGAGTCTTCCTGCTCGCTCACTCTCCAGTTATAGATTGATGTGTGGCACTTGCATTTCACGAATAGCGATAACTGAGAACACTGACCACTGCCAGAGGTGGTCATAGGTACTGGGTATAGATGGGAGAATAAACAATAAAATCACTGTCTGGGTGTTTTGTTCACGGGTTTATTTCGCACTGCGTTCCGGCGTTTAATATGTATTATCTGAACGAAACTGGGTATGCGTTTTTAAGTTCGACGTGTTTGTTTTTCAACAGGTTACTTATGCAAATCGGCTCTGGGAAGAGTCTGTGGCGACGGCCAAGGTGGGTAACCACATAAACGTTTCTCAAGAAATTAAGAAATCCTCTTTTCGTAATGGCTTCTCTCTCTCTCTCTCAGCGACTCGTAGAAACTTCAGGTTGCCGGGGGAATTCCCCGGGAAGTGGGTGTAAATATGCGAACACACGCGAACTGGTTTTCTGACGTTTCCACCGACAAAGTCACACACGCTAGATTGCAAATTAATTAACGTTGGCATTCAGAGTTCGTAATTCCGATCTGTGGATATATCTCTACTGTATATGTACATCAGCGGACCTCATCCGCTCGCCCACTACGGGTTACGTCTCGAAAAGAACTGAGTTGCTGCGCGAGAAGCGTTCAAGGAAGTACCCGGTGGATAACAGAGCGATACTAGTGCTGTTAGAGCTCTGTTAGTATTAGCAGTGGGGAGTTCGAATAAAACTCAAGCAGTACGAGACAAGTACCAGGCCGATAAGAAAGCCCTATTAGCTCTGCTAGCTCTCGGTTTGGCCGCTGATGATAAATAAAACAAAATGCCAAACAATGCGAAATATGATCGAGTGCCAACAGTGGCTCAACTGTGTGTCTGTTCGCAAACAAAACAATTATCGGACAAGTGAATGGATGTATGGATGGACTTCTTGAGTGTGGAGTGGTGCCGCGGGGGAAACACAGACAGACGACTGCTGGCGATGACTCAAAAAAAGTGTGTTCAACATGCTTGATTTGTATGAATTAATTAGCCAAGCGCCAGTTGGAGCTTTTCCCGTAAGAGCAGCTTGAGTTCCTCCCCCAAAAAGATAACGGGTTTTATAACAAGAACTTTCTTTGTTTTGATCCCGTATTCGTTGGTATAATAATCCAATCGTAATACTGTGATGACCATTGATGAACTTGCTTAACTAGAACCTTGACTATAATCTCAGGCTGATAATATAAATTATAATATTTGCAAATTGATAGACATGTACTTAAGTACATATCCCCGGCTTTCCCATCGTATAAGGTCGCTAGATAGTGATATTTTATGGCTATAGAAATCACTACAGCAGCTATATTAATGAGCCATTAAAAGGAAGCCAAGTCCCACGTCTCAAATTCGGAAATCAAAACATTAGCACGTAGAGAGCTCGGTACGGGGCTTCCAGCACTTAATTTTTAAACAGTGCGCGACGTGTCTGCAATCAGGCTATAGAGACCGGCCAAGTATAGTAACGACCAATTATAATATAATAAATATATCGGAAAGGAGCTTCTCTGGTATTCCCTGAATACTATATGTTTTTAGCCGAACTTGAGAAAAAGACCGAAACTGGTTTTGGCATTGAGCCGGCGCGACACATGTACGAATGTACACATAACATAAAAAACCAAGGGTTCACCAAAAAACAGTACAAAACAATTTATGAGGAGACAACGCGACGCGACTGTTTGTTGTGGGCGCAGATTCGCAGAGCCGAGCCGATCCGATCCGAGACATTAAAATCGCATTATAGTATATATATTTGTTTTGAAACTCGGCAAACTCCGAGGAGCGGAGACCCAAGGCCTTGAGCGAGGAGAATACCACGAAGTGATCTTTTTTTAATGCCAGGATTTCTTAATTTGTTTTCACTGCAAATTTGCTTAGTTAATTGGCCCCGATGGAGTGAGTAGTGCTTACGAGACGAGGGACCGCTTCTAGGGCTAGATAAGCGCCTACTAGATCAAGTTCAAATATTATAACAGTATCGCGCGATATCATTCGATGATTGACCCGCAAACCCCGAACAGTGAACTTCTTCGGCGAGCGAATTCGCTGCGACTGAAGCCGCGCGGCGTCCCATGCTCCGGCGTTTGCCTTAGCTTCCAAACAGCTGGAACGGAAAAGCTGCGGCGAAATACTAACCATATATAAAGGGAAAAGCTTTGTCAAGCTAGCCGAGAAGCACACCTACTCGACGGAGAGTAGTCCCAGTCGGAGTTCGGAAAGGTTTATGTGGAATACTCTTCAGAAAGTGTGTAGATATACAGAATAAGAATGGAAAATCACATAAATATCCGGTTAATCTAGATTCTCAAAGGAACCAACCAGTTCTTTGTTAGTATCCATTGGAAAATAGGGATATTTGTTTTTTTTTTTAGACCAAGGTATTCTAGATTAGTGGGAATAAAAATCTTAAAAAACTAACAGAAAAGAAGGTGCATCTCAGACATGCAATTTCTGTAGCCAGTAAATATTGTTTTAAAAAAAGCAATTTTTTAATATGGATTATGAGGTCCCAGAGCTGGCTTAACGAATTTTATTAGACTACGATCCCTGTACAATATCTCATTTGTGCTTAGAAAACAATACAAATTATGTCCGTTGACTTCGGATATTGTATATTTCTCAATGCCGAAAATAAATGAATGGGACCCTAACTGTATAATGATATAATGATAGGTATCAGCTAATGGCAGGTTACACGCCGAAAACAATCACAAAATATGTAAACACTTTTTATGATGGCCAATTATCAGAGCCTTTTGTTTTTCCGATAAGGTTAAACAAACTTCCGCCCTAGATTGGAGGGACACCCACAGTCAATTACCTTTTCTGACATTTTTGTATCGACAGCTTACGCAGAGATTCGAATAATATACTTCTATTTAACAGGATTGTCGTTAGCTGAAATATATAGAGATAACGGTAGCCAACTTCCTTTTTGATCCAGAAGCCAGCCTCTACTGTGACCTGCCGTACATCTGACGCAGCACCGCCACTACCGAATAGGACTTGCTCAGGATGTTGGTGAAGCTCGTGAGGGTCAGACCCATGAATCCGCCCGCGGTGAACAAAAAGGGACGGTCCGCGTTAACCATGAAGATGACCAGGCACCTCCTGAATCGAACATCAAACTGGAGCCAGTCGCAGCGGAATCCAGAGCTTGACAGCGTCTTGCTCTGCGGAATGAGGAGTGTCCTGTATAACCAAAGACATTGGTAGCACAGACTCACCTGTTCGAAGACCTCGTTGCCGAACCAGCAGTAGAGGAAAATCTGGCAGAGCACGCCGCTGAGCATAAAGTAGACGAGCATCGAGCTGTTGGAACCATCGCCGACGAGCATCTGGAACACCGTCATGGCTACCACTACCAGGGAGGACACGAACTGGAACATCATAGGCAGGCGGTACACCCGCTCCACGCGCTGACGTAGCCTGCAGGATGTAACTGTACGAATTAGGAGTCAAGGAAAACGCATAATCTCACCTAATCAGGCTGCAATGGTACTGGACGATCGACTGGAGCCAGCTGTGAGGGTCCACCTGGAGCCGCTGTCCTTGCTTATCCCTTTCCAAGACATCAAAGGCCATGTTGAGCACCTTTAAGTGCAGGCAGATTTGATTCATCAAGAGAACGTTCATGTTGTCGATAGTGGGAATGCCGCAGGAGATCCAGATTACACTCAGGCCCATGTACAGCTGCTGTACCAGCGGAGGCAGGTATCCAGGCATCTGGACGCGGAACGGAAACCGCTGCCCGGCCATTTCATCGGGCACTGCCCCCGGAAAAGAGTAAATCAGGCCTAGGTGGAATCACACCCATTCGGACTCACCGACAAGTAGCATGACCATGGCCGTTGACGAGGAGAACACAACCAGGCAAAAGTACATCAGACAAACCAGCTTGTTCTCCACCTCTACGTCATGAAAGGTGCTCCTCTGGCGGCCAGACAGCACGCAGGCCCTGGTGAGGCAGCTCAGCTGCCTGACAATCTCCTTGATCTCTTCGTAATGGTGAAAGGTGTTCAGCACCTGCAAACACATTATCCTTACCAATGTCAGAGCAGCACTTGGAAACACCTATGCCCTCACCTTGACCCAGTAGCCCACGTGGGTGAGTGTCATCAGCACGTTCTGGGTCATAACGTCCACATCCGCCCAGTTCAGGACAAGGTCATAGATCTCCAAGCACACGTAGCAGAAGAGGCAGGGCAAGATGAAGAAGCTGCGAACCAGAATGCCCAACCTTTGGATCCTCGACTCTGGTCGGAGGCCTACCAGCGGTATTCCCGTAAGCTGAGCCAGCCACGCGTTCAACTCTAAGGAGCCTATCTTTCCCGTATCCACATCGGAGGCCCATATCCGCTGGGTCACTTCCTGCAGCCTGCTCATTTTGCCAATAGATGAAGGCTCCACTTACAGCAGGCTACCTTTTATAGAGCTTTCCTCTTTATATTATGGCATATGGGGCGTGACTCGCAGACAGTAATTGGATTGGTTGGATTACATCGTTAGAAACTCGTGTGACCACTTTCGATATATTGGGCAGTGTTGGGGTTACAAGGAAATAAGGAATGGTAATAGTAAAGAACCGAATGCTTTGCTTTTAATATTTATTATAAAAAAATCTTAAAACTAGTTCATTGAAACTTTCTGTTATCTGTTGATTTCCTCCGTTATGCAACTGGCATACCTGGATTGAAGAAGAGAACATTTTTAAAATCTAAACAATTTTAAAATAAAACATAAAAGCCAGGAACAATTCAACAAGGACAAATAAAAACGACATATAGAGACTTGCGTGTTAGTACCATAACATAGTACAAGTTTTTCAACCCATATTTCTAGCACCATAAAAACATTTTTAAAAATCTAAACAAATTTAAAATAAAACAAAAGCCAATAACAATTCAACAAGGACAAATAAATGCGACATATATAGACTTGCGTGTTAGAACAATCACAAAGTATTAGTTTTTAGACCCAAATTTCTAGCACCACAAAATATAATGCAAACCCAGGGATTTACCTATGTCAAAGCCCCATCAAGGGACGTCATCTCATCTTTGGAAAAGTCAGTATCACGATTCCTATTTCTACTTTAAGACTGTGTTCTTATTTTCACTTTGAAATAAAGCCCATAGTACTTACCTTTCTTTGCACAGCCGCAGGATTCTGGGTTTCAGAATGAACAGGACAAAAATAATGATACCCTGACACCAATGAAAGTAGTCGGCCACCAGGAATATCTCCCTCAGTACTTCAACGTTCTGCACTAGGTAGGAGATTATTTCCAAGCTCCACGAGACGCCAGTGATGATAAAGAGGCGCAGGAAGAAGCTGTAACTGTGAGGAGAGAGTTTAGGGTCATGGCAAGCCATTCACTATAGAAGCTTATTACGTCTGAGTGTCGGATTGGAACTTCCGCTGTTTGTCCTGTCTGTGGACACTCCGAAGCTCCCTCTGCACCACCATAATACGATGGGCCGTCAAGGCAAACACGACCAGATTAAATGCGATCAACACTGCCATCGGACCATAGAAATAAATCATGGCGGACCAGCTGGAGACTATAAATTTATGAAAATGTATAACAAAATCCGCAGGAAAGTTGAGCTCATGCTAACCCACCATTGATCCAACAGGTAAAGTGACCCACTCCCGGCAGCCACACCTCCTCATTCTCCTGCGAAGAGTTAACTAACTTGTCGATGAGGTATATAGCTCCAGTGAGTACCGCCGCCACTCCCCAGGCAAAGGCGTTGCAGACAACAAAGCGTTTGGTTGAATGCCGGTTACGCGCCTGGACCCCACTGCTGCAGAAGGTACTCCACAGACCCAAGCTGATGACGGAGAGCCACAGGAAGGCGGCCATGACGAAGAAGTAGCCCAGATAGCCTGCAGACCAAAGCATCGATAGATTATCCTGGATATCCTTAAGCACTGAGGAATTATACCTGCCGTCAAGCAATAGTTGCGCGATAGATTCCACAGGTCAAGCAAGAGCATAAGGAAGCCAATGAAGAGTGAGATCATGAAGCAGATGAAGCACTGGCCGTGCAGATTCTGCAGTTCCTCCAGAAAAAGATACACGCAGATCGTGCATAAGAGACCAACCAGCGATAGCTGCAGCGCTGCAAAATAGATGTAATAATATGTGCATATCCTTCTTCCTTACTCCATCATAGCCTACCAATAGTTTTTCCCATCTTCTGGGGATCTTCAATGGATATGGTGCAGTTGTGGGAAACTATTTTGATGATGTCTACGTCCTCCTCAGAGATTTTGTAAGGATGGACACAGAAGAGCCGTCTGTTTGACTCGTCGAACTTTTGTCCGAAGGAATTAATTTAAAAGAACCAACTTTAATTCAGAGCTTTAAAAATTAATGACGCGACTGTGTCCGAACATGCAGCTCCGGTTTCAATGTTTCGTAGAACGGTTGCACATCATCGCACGGCATAGGGAGATCGTCCTGAAGGATATACCCAGAGCGATTTTGGTGAATGACCTCTAGAATTTGACTCTGCTTAGCGCTTGGCTTGCAACGGCCATTATCCAGGGTCCGATTCAGTTGGCAGCAAAGGCGTAGGCAGGTGAACAGCTTACAGGCACATCCCCGCATGTGTCTTTCCACCGGAACTCTGGTGCCATCCTGCAGCTCTTTGTGATCGATCTCAGCCGTAAGCTCAGCGGGAATAAGAAGACGCCCATCGTACAAATACGAGGCGTTTGGATACCTCAGACTCTCGTTGAGGTTGACAGTGTCAAAATAGTCACAGCCTGCGATATCAGCACCTGTTTTATCTGCAGTTGCTAAAAAGAATATCCACAACATCTGGATTGCGGAAAGAGTAGTGAGGCAACCAGTTTAAATCTAACTTTGAATCCTATTTACTTTCATTTCAAAATCCAAAGCCTATCCAACTTTTGTTTTGAGCGAATTTTAATTACTCCCTAGAGGACTATAAAAACTGGGAAATATATTGGAATTGGGAAACTTACTAAAAACATCGTTGTACAGCAGTTGCACATGATTCCGAACCTACGACTTTGAAAGAACTGAAATATAAATTTGTGAGTGAGGCCAAGATATAGCGGCGGCTGCTGCTCCAGATCTTGATTATGCTTACTGACTGATTGCACATAAACACATATTTTGAAATAATCAAATTTTTGGAAATTCGTATCAGTGTGACGGGTAAAACACAAAGGGAGAGCTTAAATCACTATAAAATGTGAGAGTTAAGAAAGCTTATAATCTTATCTTTAAAGTCTTTTGATGAGGATTATTAAATAATTAAATATTGTATACTTCATCTGCAAGTTTCCTGAGAATAAAGCCTACGGCTCTTTCAACCCCTGAAATTTTTCAGAAAGCCTTTGAACTTGGCTACGTTCACTTCCAGGATTCATTATTTACTTTTCCTAGCTTTGGGTTTTTTTACGCAGATTCTAATAAATGGTAATAAATAAAACAAACATTTAGAATAATATTATTTGTATTAGTTACATTATAAAAGGCAATTTTCTTCGGTGGCTTATCTCTACAGTAAGTCTGTTTATAAAACTCGAGTATGTAAATAGAGATGTATACTTAAGAGGTACTTGAACATAGTTAAGAGATTCTCGTACAAGTCTTTGGCTGATCTTACTTGGTCGTTACCCGTGCCTCCTTATTTTTCTGGTTTTTCCCATAAGGATTCAACTTGCATTTCCGATTGTTTACCTATTGAGTGTGCCACCTGCAGGAAGGTTCTTTGTAGTCGTAATAGCAATTTTTGGTAGTTGTAAGACGCTTTACCTGGATCGAGTTGAGCTTATAGGTATATCGGTTAGTCGAACTTCCACCTGTGCATGACTTTATGCTGCAACCGCTAAACTTATTCTGTTTCACCGGCCTGGGGGGGAAGAATCGTTATAAATATGAAAGAAAAATGCAGGATATATAGTCTAAGTTTCAACGTGCTACATTCAAGTTAAAGGAAGGAACATAACAAGGCACACAGAACACGACAACATCAAGCTGGTCAGAGAAACTATAAGTGCATCCAAACATAGAACCCAATAATTAGTCACAGTCGATAGTAGATAGTACATTCTCCAGCACCAAGTTAGCAGTTAGAAGCAGTTCAGTACAGTTTACCTATTACAGGAGACTCGGAGCTAATTGCGTCTCCTCGAGCGAGATATCTTCCCCGCTGGCTTCGGCCTCCGCTTCCTTGCTCCTACCCCTAATGCTGCTCAGGCAAGAATTTCAATAACACGACAGTACCCGGAGGTTGCTGGTTACTCTAGCTTCCGGGACAATCTACTCAGACTACTCACCGATCCATGCAGTGTTTTAAAGTGCTGCGCTTCAGTACAAACAGCACAAATATTACTGTGCCCTGGGACCAGTTCAAAATGTCAGCCGCTGTGAAAACCGTCTTCCAGAATTCGTTGTTCCGCACCAAATAGGAGATTATCTCAAGGCTCCACGACATGCCCATGATAACAAAGAGGCGCAGAAAGAATATGTAACTGTTCGACGGATTAGAATAGATAGGGCAGTAGATACATTTTTTGATCAAGCCTACGTCTGTTTTTCCGAGTTGAGCTTCTTCGTCCGCTCCTGACGCTGTGCGAACTTCGTCAGCTCCTTCTTCACCGCCACGATGCGAATGGCCGTCAGGATGAACATGGTCATGTTGAAGGCGATCAGCACCAACATGGGTCCATAGAAATAAAGCATGGCGGACGAGTCCACAGCTACGGGGGGAGAAAATATTGAAAGCTCAATTTGAAAATCCATAAAATGTGAACCGAACTCACCATTGATCCAGCAGGTGTAATAGCCCACGAGAGGCATCCAGTCTAGGTTATCCTCTTTAGCTACAAACGCATCTAATATAAAAATGATTAAGGTCAGGATCGCCGCCATGCCAAAGGCGTATCCGTTGAAGGCCAGGAATAGGTTATTTGGCAGGAACCGATTGTGGGAGCTGGAGTTACCGCCTAACTCCTTCCACAGGTGAAAGCTGATAACGGAGAGCCAGAAGAAGGCGGCCATAACGAAGAAATAGCCCAAGTAACCTGTCAAAGGGACATGACTTGGTTAGATGAGTTCAGGGTTTCCGGTCAACTCAAAGTACCTGCCGTGAAACAGATCGCGTCCGTTAACTTCCACAAGTCCAGTAGCAGGATAAGGAACCCCATGAACAAGCAAAACATGTAGCAGATGAAGCTCTTTCCTTGCAGATTGCGGTGCAGCTTCTTAACGCACATGTACACGCCGATAGTAAGGATCATGCATATCAGAGATATTATCATCACTACGGAGAGAAGTGGTGGAAATAAGTGTAGGCAAAGGAAATATAAAAAACTGGGTAAGGCTAACAAAATAATGGTCTCATAGGTTTTGAATTCTCATAGCTTACCCACTGTCTGTGCCGTCTTTGGCTCATCTTGCACACAGTAGTGGGGTACGATGCGGGACTGAGGATCCTTGTCATCGAGCTGATTGTGCTGAATGCAGTACTCGCTCTTGTTCATCTGTACGCCGTCCATATGTCGATGGATGGTTCCGTTCTGGTTGACAATACATATAGGTTAAGCGCCGCGAAATGGAACATCACAATACCCACCTCATACAGTGTGTAGTTATTGCCCTCCACCCTGTTGTCGAGAGGGTACAGGTTGCTACTACTACAGGGAATGTGAAAATCCGTCTGGAGAATTAGATCGGTGCGGAAGTGTCTCTTCACCTCCAAACCGTTGGCGTTGGTCACATTTAAGTAGGGATCGATCTGGGCCAGCTCCTTCTCCTTGGTATCAGTGCATTCACCGTTCTTCATTATCTGATCGTGACGGCAACAGAACCGGACACATGACTTCAACTTGCAGACACATCCCCGCCAGTGCCGCCTGTTCACCGACTCCTTGGAGTCGTCCGGTAAAGGTCTGGAGTCATATTCCCCCGTTAACCGTTCGGGAATGAGGATACCCTCGTAGATATACGAACCATTGGGAAGCCTCTGGCTGGCCGAGAGTTCCACAGTATCAAGGTCGTCGCAATCGGGAATATCGGCCAATGTCTGGTGCAGTACCAGCACCCATAAGAGCACTACGAACAACCGCATTTATACGCCAAGAGTCTGCAAATGAAAGAAACCCATTTCAATTCTGTGGGAGGTTCAAGTCTTTGCATTTATTCTTGGAAATCGGCATTAAATTCAAGACAACCAATATGCACGTATAAAAATTTGTACATACGTACAGTTGCCAATCAACAAGAACATTAATTTCATTTTCCCCGAACTCTATAGATTATATGACATTAGAAGATTATTCTTGTATGAAAAACAAAAACAACATAAAAGTGGCAAACAAAAATATTTAATAAAACAATAAAGAGAAGCTGAATTTAGGAAGCTTGTATACCTAGTATACCCTCCCCTGAAAATACACAAGCATGTGAATTGTTATTGACATGACTCCTGAACTGAGTTTTTACTAAAATTTAAATTGTGTGATTTTTTTATAACGTTCAACTGCGAAAAAATTGTATTAAAATTTTTTTAGATATTTGTGTATTCAAACATTTGAACGTGTTTTTTTTTCAATATTTAAATGCAGTTTGTCTTAGGGGCCCCATAGTCCGCTTATCCAGAATGTTAACGAATGGTTCTGAATACAAATTAATTCAAGCACTAAAAAATTAGTTCGGCGAATTCGCGAAATATTTGTTAGGGAATATTTAAAAAAAAAGCTAACAAACATGCTTTGCTATTAACGATTTCCTGTTTATTTATATGCTTAGCTCTTTGTTCATTGTATATAATTGGCGGAGAGAAAAAATTATATCGTTATTTTTTTTTTAGCAAAGAGAGTGTTATGTTAAGCTACTGACTCACAGTGATAACAGTCTATAAAGGGAAACGATACCACGCACGCCTCTAATTAAACTTTATTCTCGTGATTAATTAATTTCTTGGAAATTTATTTATATGTAGAATTATATGGATCTTTATTTATATTTTATATATTATAAATATAAATATATATATTAATACATTTATAAATATATATATTTTATTATATTAATTAAATTATAAATAATATTAATAAATAATGTGATAATAATTATTATTAATAATTTATATATATTATTATTTATATATTTATTATTATTTATTTATTATTTATTATTATTTATATTTATAAATAATATTTTCTACTAAAACAACATGATCACAGAAATTCTTAAAGTGTAAACTCAATATACTCATAGACCATGTGTGGCATATGTTTCCACTCAAACGAATTCAAAGCTATGCAAAAAAAAACGGCGGTCACTGAACCAAATAAAAATTGGCAAACTTCTTGGCCTTGGCAAAGTGATCCCTATTCCAAGGAACCGAGCGCCAACAATAAAAAAATAAAAAATGATTTGTATATACATACACACGGAGTCCAAGGATTATAATGCACCTCCGCCTCCGACGACTCTTTATGAACTGATCCATGATTCACTTCAGCCCGACTGCCACTGGGAAGATGATAATGAAACGAGTTTGTTTGTTCCTTTCTTTCTTTTGCAGACATTTTCTGCCAGATATGTACATAGATACAATCATACAGATTGGAATCATAAGAAGACAGAAATGCAGAATTGTACAACAATTTTAATTATTTTAAAGTTACTTTTTAACCTACATATACTTGTCTGATAAATTCTATACTCAGTAATATAAAGTTTACATTACTGTAAAAATCGTTTAGTTAAGCTATGCAAAAACATATGTACATATATTAACCCATTACAAAAAATAACACAGAATATTGTTTCGATTTAAAAGTAATGCCATTTGACTTTATTAATTTTTATTTTGTTTTTTTTTTATGTTTTAACTTTAATCTGTAAAATAAATTAACATAAAATTTATAAATTTTAAAAATATAAAAAAAAAAAAACAAATTTGGAAAGGGAATTATAAACGCACGGATGTTTTGAAAAATCCTAGGTGCATGATTTTTTAGACACTAGTATATTTTGACAATTTCACCAAACCGCTAAACCTAGACTGTTTTTTTTTCTATTTATTTCTTTTTACCATTATAAAACTTTGATGACTGTGAACATCAGCCACCTTTACTTCCTGTATCTGCCATTTCAGAAAGTAGACGGTCATACCATTTCCATTTGTGTTTTGCGATACATCGATAACTCTCCTTTTGAGATTTTTCAGGGGGAGCCATCTGGCAACACTGTTGCTAATTACAAACACAATCGTTTCGGTTTCTTTCGGTTTGTTTTCGTTTCCTCCGTTTTTGCGCTTACCCGTGTAGTGAGTCCGATTAAATTTTGAAAAGATAACTCGCAACCACTAAGTTCGATTCTCGACCTAATCCGTGAGTTTTGATTGCGTTTTTTTTTCATTTTAAGTTGACTTCCACGAAGCGGCTGCTGTGTGTGTGTGTATGCGAGTCTCGCTATCCGTGTCCGTGAACGCGTTTTTGTGCATGTGTTAGTTCTATGCTGCCCCCGAGTTGAAAGAAACTCGGCAATTTGTTAAATAAAACAAGAAAGGAGGCACATATACGAGAGTTATACGGAATATTTATAAATCTACTTTGTGCAAGTACAGCTCAAGAGACAGACAGGGAAAGCTCAATAACCAGAGGTAAGTCAGCTTAATCTAAGATTCTGTGGTGTTTTAACTCCTTCCCGTACCGTAATTATTGTTATTCTTCATCTTGATTTTCCCTTCCGCTCGCTTGCACACCCGCACATGCCGCCTACTCAGCCTGTCAGTCTCTTCCTTATTTTGCTGCAAGCGCGAGCGAGAGGGCAAGACGTTACTTGTACACACACATGCATGCCTTGCCTGCATCTCGTAAGCCGCACGTATAGCAGTGCAATGGAGGAAGTGGCAAAGGCTGCAGATAGGAGGAAAGAGGATAGCGAAGATGCTGCAGCCAGCTCTCGCTCCTGTTTTCCTGTCTCCCTCTGTCGCAATTAATCTTTTATTGTGTTTACAAATCGTCAATTAACTGTTACTGTCATACCCAAACTCCACCCGGCTCAGATTCGCCCATCCAGTTAACTGTCATAAAACTGTTTGCTAGGCCAAACAATAATAACAGCAGCAGCGAATTAACCCCAATCAAAAGATGAACGGTGAAAGTAAAGGGAGTATTCTTACGTATGGTAATGGTTTATAAGGGGCCGGCGAGAGGTAGGGTCATAAAGAGAGGGGCAGGGAAAACAAATCAGCTGAGATCTGCACTGTAAAATTCTGTAGAATTAAGAACATTTTCTAAAATTAACAAAAAGATTCTATAAATTTAAGGCAACGCACCATAAAAACAACGCAAGGCAAAATAAATACAATTTTTTAGGGTTAATTTTTCTACTTTTCTCCAGCTCGGAACGTTTTTTCTGATTGGCTTTAATTAGATTCTTTTTTAATTAACAGACAAATTTCACTTGTTTTGCTGGTAAATTTTTTATGCCCTTAAAATTGGGAAAAATGTCTCATTTAAAATAAAAATTATACATTATAAAAATCGCCCCAGATTTCATAGTTTCTTTATTTTTATTGCTTTTAGGACACCTTTTTTTATTAAATCTGACCGAAGTTCTAGTTTTAGTTTCTTTTAATCGTTCATAAAACAATTGAACTTGTAATGGATTTCAATTTCAACACGAAGGCATTGCTCATTTTTGTGCGAGTGAATGCGTTCTTGGTTGTGTGTGTATATAACTGTCGCCCGCCCGGGTCTTGAGTCTTCCGCCGGGGACTGGGCTGCATGTGGAATATGAACACGAAAATAGCATAGGCGGAATGCTGAGCACTGAACAAATACACACGGGGTGTGCTGTGCATGTGCTCGCTCCCCTCCCATGCCCCTCCCCCGGCCCTTCTTCGCAGAAGCAATAAAAATTAAAAGGCAAACAACGATAAGCGGACTAAACCCCGCCTTGGACACACTAAGCCCCGTCTCGGGCCACCCCCTTCGCGGTGTGTGCGCACACATGGCAACCCTGGGCAGCAACATTAGCCCCACCAGCAGTAGCAGCAGCAGCAAATGCATACGCCAGCCGATAATTAATTCCAGGCCAGCGTAATTGATGCGTCCTCGGCACGAGAGGAAATCAATCGGGGGAGTAACCTGCTTTCCAGTCAGGCAGTGACCTCCTCCCGTACAGAGAAAGCCATTTCCCAACCAGGTGGATCACAACCCCTGGCCCCTGCCACCGGAAAATTCTATTTGAAGCCAGGCTGCGGGTTAGATTGATAAACACGAAGGGCACAAACTTGGGGGTGCTGACCATATTTTTATGGACAGCAGAGAGCTCCATTAAAAAGCACTTTAAATCAGGAAATTTCAGGGGTAAATTTTACATAATTTATATGTATATGCAAACTGTACACAAAAGTAAATTTTAATTGAAAATACAGTCTTCGCGGAAGGATATTTTAATTGTAACTTGAACTTATAATTTTTATATATTAATGTATATTTTTTATAAAGTAGATTTACAGTATATTTTGTTTTAGCATGCAGGACAATCCTTCCCATTTAGGTAATTTCTTTGCTTTGACTTATATTGGGGTTGCCAGGCATCGAAAGCGTTATAAAAATGGAAGTATGCTTGAAGGATGTGCCGAGTAATTGAAATGGAGTGACATCTGGTTGTCCCCCTGCCCAAAGCCTGCTCCTCCTCCACTCGCATGTGGAAAGCTTATCTTGTCGCCTGCTTTGTTTGGCCTAGGCTTTGTTGTTTTCCTTGTGGCTGGCGGCTGGGTTTCTCGAGTTTCGCTTCCTTAGAAGTTATCCACGTCTGCGGTTTCCATTACATCACAGTGTGGATCCATTGTGCTGCTCCGGTTGCCCTTGTCAAGCCCTGGCCTTTGGAATGACATGGTTTCTTTGATTGGGAAACAGCCTCGACGACAATCCACCGTTGATCTCAAGAGGCTTCAGAGGTCATGTGGTTAGTTGCCCTAAGAAAGTGCTGCAGATTTTAACTGGTTTGGCAAGAGCTACATCCCGCTCCGAGAGCAGCGAACAAAGAAAGAGCCGCAGAAAAAGGCCGAAGCTGCCCCCAGACCGTAATTTGGTCAGGCACTGAGATAGCGTTTGCATATGCAAATATGTACATATGTATGTGTCGCAGCGATTATTGTCCGCGGAAAGTCGGTCAACGAACCGAAAAACATAGGAAGAGGGCACTGAGCGAGCGGTCGGTCGGTCACTCCATACCATGGATATGTCGCCTCGCCTAGGTGTGTGTGTTGACCATTTCGATTTCGATTTCATAATGAAAACTCTGTAGTACGTAGTATACTCATTGACAAGCTGCCCTGGCCGTACATGGAATCCGAACTGACCAGTGGTCATGGCTTCCCCACAAATATGGTGACCACCTCTTTAGCACCACCGCCTCAATTCTCGACGCTCTCGCTTCCCGTTCCACACAGCTCCAGGTATTGTCGTAACCCCGTCTCGTGGGCGTCAGAGAATGACGTAAACCGTCCTCCATTTGTTTGTTTTTAATAATATTCCCAATGTGTGTCTGTTGTGCTTTTTTTCCTTTTTTCTTTTGCCAACCTGTTGATAACCAAGTGAAATACAGTGCAGCAAAAAAAAAAAAAAGTGTTTATAGTAAACTATAACACTATACAGCGTTGTTTGTAGTTAATGATCTGAAGGATATTTTAAGCAATCGAAACGAAATTAATTATATTTTTTTGTTATCAGGCTCCAATTTATATGTACGGTCTCCAATCATTCTCTTAAAAATTGTAGAGTGGCTACTGTACCTATACTATACTAATATTATCGAACCATCGCGCTAGCAAGCTTCAAGTTTACGCTTATAATTACCACCAACTGATAATGAATCAAGGAAAGTGTCTATGAGGGAACGGAACGGAACAAAAGGGCCCCAAAGTCAGGGTGAGCCCAATCACTTTGCTTTTTTAAAGCCGGATTTATTTATTGCCCGTTTTGTGAGTTCCTTGTGCCACCACATAAATTATCTACATGTCATTGATAATGCGCACATTTCTCTGGCTAAGTGCTAGATCGACTGCCCATCTGTCTCTCTCGCCTGGCAACGGTCCGGAAATGTATTATTTTTATAGAACACCGAACAATCTCTCCCTATTCCGAGATATTTTTACTACTTGCGACAATTGCGCTCTCTTTCCATGTGTGTCTGTCCAAGAGAGCGAACAAATTATACACAAGGCTCTTGGCGTCGGAAAGAATTATAAAAAGTAACCGATGAATGCCTCATTTTCATTTTCATTTCGATAAAAGGCTTTGTGCGCTTTGGCCTCCGATAACTATTGACCCCTGGGTTGGGTGTCGTTCGATCATCAGCCCAAAAAGGCGGCCACTGACTCAAGGCAACTAGCTAGTTATCCCCAGTCTGATAATTACTGACAACTGTATGAAAAAAAACACTATTTCCCACTCTTCAATCGCTGCCCGCTTCGAGAAGCTCAACAAAA